CGTGGATGGAGAATTTCTAGAGACGCGACTGACAATTATTCCTTAGATTAGAAGGAAGCATGCACACGTTGGCCATGGACACCATCAGGATCCTCCTGGCCACCCGGCCCCGCGGCGGACGATGAGGACTGTTGCCGGCGCCAAACTTTCCAATCATAATTGATTTTTTTATGTTAGGTTTAATTCCCCTGAAAAAGCAAATTGAATGTGAGCTGTGATAGGAGTGAGTAATGGAATCTGCATTGTTGATGAGTTTGAGTTTGGTGCTTGATAAATTGAGAAATTTGGAGAATGCTCACCTTGCTCTCACTGTCTGAGTGTTTTGGATGACGGCAGAAGGAGAAATTCACATTTCTTGGGGAGTGAGTACATCAAGAGTATTATTTTGGTTATTTCATCTTGCAATTTAAATATAGCAGTTTTGAAGGCTTGATTGAAACATTTTATAACATTGATCAAGAATATTAGGTGTATATCTTGCCAAAAAAATGCATTCATTAATGAAATTTATTAGAGACATACACTTTGATTTATAATTCTTTTTGCTTCTTTTCTCAATTGACCTTGGCCTCATAAATGACAGTTCGGTGCTGACCCCGGCCTTCTCCGTGCGCTGGAACATGGTGTCGTCGGTGTCCCTAATGTTGCAAAAAAATGTATTCATTAATGATATTTATTAGACATACACTTTGATTTAGAGTATCAAAAGGTTCTTTTCACAATTGGCCCTTGCCTCATAATTGAACAATTCCGTGCCAAACCCCGGCCTTCTCCTTGCGCTGGAACGCGGTGTCATCAGTATCCCTTATGTAGACAACCATGGCTTCCGATATGTCTCGTGTGGACAGCGAATTTCCTATATTTGTTTCTCTCTTAAATTAATTATTGTTTTGTTGAGAAATCCAATAACAATTTCTCAATGTACAAAAACATATATAGACATGCAAGAAATCATGTACTATTCTTTCATATTACAACTGATGGCAACTGGTCAACGAGAGCTCGAAGGACGATAAGCAGCGACGTGGATAGCATGCCATGTTGAAATAAAAGACGTGTGGTGGGGGTGAGTCTTGACTCAGGCTTATTTTGTTAGAAGCGTGTATTTTTTTTCTTCCGTTGCAACGCACGTGCATACTTACTAGTAGATTATAAATGTGTCTTCGACATGCAACAAGATATTAAAATTCAGCCTCACATAAGCTGCTGCAACACGAGCATTACAACAGACCAAAAAATTTATCTTCTAAACCACACAAAACCAACTGCCAGAGCCAACACTTATTAGGGTTTGACATAAGAACGATTTGGTCTTCGCACAAGAGGGGGGGGGGGGAGAGTATAAGCCTCCCATCCAGCTACCTCTACCAACATTATTCTTCATAGATAAAAAGAAAGGAAACCTCAAAGATAAAGAGAAGAGAAAGACTGAGAAGAGCTTGCCATTTAAGTAAAAGAAAGAATGATTGTTTTCTTAGAAAAGTCTCTTCGGCCTCAAATTGTTGCATGGTAGCTGCCAGCCTGCCACCAAGCGCACCACGAGATAGACATAGGCAACAACTCATAATTTAAAAGTCCCTAATGGCCATGACCACTGTAAATAAGTAGTGAAGCTTGATGCGACAGCGTGAGGTAACGCGACTTAATAACATGAACCAGCAACAGGTCAATAGAAAAAACAAAACAAACAGTTTAGAAAAGGAAAGAGAAGATTGTGCATCGAGTGCATCAACGTGCCACGTATGTACAATTTAGTCCAACAAATCTAATCAACCCAACAGCTGTAGGCCCTGTTTGGATTCCTAGGTTAGAGTTAGTTTTAGTTAGTTGGGGCTCAAATAACCCAAAGGTATCCAAACATGGTGGGTTAGTTTGGGTTAGTTGGATCTAACTCACCCCAAAAAACTAGTCCACACTAGAGGAGCTTATTTGGGTTAGTTCTTCTGGATCCACTAAAAAATAGTAAAAAAAAAGTTACCTCTCCCCTCTAAATAGGGTCCAAAGTAGTCAAATGATTAAGAAAGAATATTTATTGTCAATCTAACCCTATCATTCAAACATCTCTTTGGTTAGAGTTAATTTATGATTAGTTTAAAGTTAAAATATAACTCTAACCTCTAACTTAGTTAGAGTATTCAAACAGGGCCATAGTCTGTCACCGTGGCTGGTGAATGGACTAGGAGGTGACCTCACAAGGAAAATTTATAGTAAGCAAGTATGATAGGGTTTTTTAGACACCCACCAACCCCTTCCCTAGTGCGAATCCCCCCTCCCTTTCTTCTCGCCACTGACATGCGGGATCCGAATGTCAGGGACATCTTCTACCTCAAGCATCAGCGTCGTAGCTCACAACCTATGTTGAAAATTTTTGGAGAGTTGTGCGGTGTGATGCGTGTCGCCTTGTGGCTCACTTGGCACAACGTCACTCTGCACATTACAAATCCTGAACCAAAAAACCATACCAACCCAAAATTTTATGTTGTTTGGCCTACGACGTGGCATGGAATCTGAAAATCCTTTGCACATTGTTTTCTCTATAAAAACAAAATATTTCAGTAAAACCGAAAATACCGATTTAGAGGAAGGCCTAGCCGAGACCGCTACACCATTTCTGCACTTTTATGTTTTCACCAGCCCACCACACCACTTATACACCAATCAATAGCCCATCACAGCAACATCACACACCCACTGCTCACACGCACGCATATGCGGCTCCTATTTGGCGTGTAGGTTACTGTTGTATAGCGACATAGCGTGTACAACCCTCCCTTTTTTGAGAAAAGTGTGTACCCTCCCATGCGCGCTAACACATTCAGGACCTGACGCCTACCCTCCCATGTGCCATGTCCTTTGTATGGGTCGGACCATTCCAGGTTTTTTCTCGGTTTTGGGAAGAACTATTTTTCCTTTTTTCCTGGGTTCTCTTTATCTATTTTGTTTTCCCTTTTTCTTTTTAATCTTTTTGTTTTTGTTTACTCTTTCATTTCTATTTCTCATTTTCATTCCATTTTTCTTTTCTCTTTTTCTTACATTTCCCTTTTCTTTTTCTTTTTTGAACATCTTTCAAATCCCGGAACATCTTTTAAATCATGAACATTTTTTTGTATTCATGATGATTTTCCTGAAATTGTGAACAATTTTTGAAGCGATTAGCACTTTTCAAATTGGTGAACATTTTATTTGAAATCCATGAGCATTTTTTTGAAATCATGAATATCATTTGAATTCATAAACATTTTTTAAAATTGTGAATTTATTTGGAACTCAAAAACATATTTTTTTGAATCGATGAACATTTTTTTGAAGTTTGGCAACAATTTTTAAGATTCACAAACTGTTTTTTTATGAACATTTTTAGAAATCATGATGTTTTCTGAATCACAAACTTCTTTTGAAATTTGGGATGTTATTTTAAAATTTACGACTATTTTTTGAATTCGCAAACATTTTTTTCAAAATCATGATTAATTTTTTATCTCCCCAACATTATTTTCAAAATCACCAACAAAGTTTCGATTCAGAAAACCTTTTTCAAAATCTTAAACATTTTTTGAATTAATGAATATTTTATGATTTCTTGAACATTTTTATAAAAGCAACTTCTTTTTGAAATTTGGAACTTTTTTAAAATGCTGAATTATATATATAAACAAAATAAAAAAATTAGGGGAGTCCCGCCCTCCACATGGCTGGCCTGAAAAAGCGTGGTGGTGGGAATTGCATGTTTCCTTCCTATTCGGCGCGTAGCGCGGAATAGGAGCTCCCACACGCACAGACGCGGATCCCTAGCGACCAAATTCTTAAAAAAAAACTAGTGACAAAACCGGCAGCGTAGCCGAGCACCACGGATGGAGGTGCACTAACCACCTATGCAGCCTCGTTGAGTCTTTCATTCGATGATCGATTGATGAGTACGCGGGAATAGTTTTATTTTTCTCGCCCACATCCCCTAGGCATAACCGAAATGGTACACCTTTTGACTTTTCCTTGTTATATGTTTCTCTCCCATGGATGGCGGCGACGCTGCATCAAGGGCGAGAGAGAAAGAGAGGCCGCATCAAGGTGAGTTCGACTGTTTCACTCTCGTGCCATCTTTCCTCATGGCTTCTCTTTCTCTCTCTCTCCATGTATCTATCGCAAGGGCGCTCGAGTCACAGGCGGTGGGGGGG